GCACACTACCATGCCCAGCTGATTTTTTTTTTTTGGATTTATTGTAGAGATGAAGTCTCCCTGCCCAGGGTCTCGAACCCGCGGGCTCAGGCAATCCACTCACCTCAGCTTCCCATCTTTTGCCTTTTTGATAGTTGCCATTCTAACCAGTGTGAGGTGATATCTCACAGTGGTTTTACTTTGTTATTGTTGTTGTTGTTGAAGTCTCATTTTGTTGCCCAGGCTGGAGGGCAGTGGCATGCTCACGGCTACGGCAACCTCAACCTGCTGGGCTTAGGTGATCCTTCTGCCTCAACTTTCCAAGTAGCTGGAACTATAGGAGTGTGCCACCACACCTGGCTAATTTTTTGATTTATTGTAGAGGCAAGGTCTCACCAAGTTGTCCAGGCTGGTCTCAAACCCCTGGGCTTAGGCAATCCTCTCACCTCAGCCTCCCAAGGTGTTGGGATTACAGGCATAAGCCACAATGCCTGGCAGTTTTTACTTTTTATTTCATTTTATTTTTTTGAGTTAGGGTCTCTCTCTGTCACCCGGGCTGGAGTGCAGTGGTAAGAGTACAGCTCACTGTTGCCTTGACTTCCTAGGCTCAGGGGATCCTTCTGCATCAGTCTTTTGAGTAGCTGGGATTACAGGAGTGCCACCACGCCCAGATCATTTTTTGTAGAGATGAGGTCTCACTATGTTGCCCAGGCTGGTCTCGAACTCCTGGGCTCAAGCAGTACTCCTGCCTCAGCCTCCCAAAGTGCTGAGGTTACTGGTGTGAGCCACTGGGCCTGGCCATAGTGTTTTTTTTTTTAATGTCTTTATCTGATTTTGGTATTAGAGTAATTCTAGCCTCATAAAATGAGTTGGGAAGTGTTCCTTTCTCTTTTATTTTTCTGGAAGGTATTATATAAAATTGGCATTATTTCTTTTTTAAATGTTTGGTGGGATTTGTCAATGGAACCAATTGATTCTCCTGTTTGTTGTTATGGAGGGTTTTTAACTACTAATTGAATTAGTCTAATAGACATAAAGCAATTCAGGTTATCTGGTTCTCCTTAAGTGAGATTGGTAATTTGTGTTTTTCAAGGAATTGGTTCATTTTAGCTAAATTATAAAATTTATGGGAGTAGAGTTGTCTGTGGTGTTCCCTCATGATCTTTTTCATTTCTGTGGGACCAGTCGTGATGACCCCTCTTTCGTTGTTGATGTTGGTAATTTGCAGCTTCTCCCTTTTTTTCTTGGTTAGTCTGGCTAGAGGTTTATCAATTTATTAATCTTTACAAAGAATCAGCTTTTGGTTTTATTGATTTTTCTTTATTGTTTTTCTGTTTTCAATTTCACTGGTTTCTGATCTATTTTTTATTATTTTCCTCCCCCTGTTGTCTGAAATTTATTTATATTTGTTTCTTATCTAGTTTCCTCATGTGGAAGTCAGGGCTATTGATTTTTAGAACTTTCTTCTTTTCTAACATACACATTTAATGCTATACATTTCCTTTTAAGCACTGCATTAGCTAAATCCCACAACTTTTGACAATTTTACTTTCATTTAGTTCAAAGTATTTTCTAATTTCTCTTGAGACTTTTTTTTTGGACTCATAGTCTATTTAGGAGTTTATTGTTTAATTTCCAAACATAGTCAGCTATCTTTCTGTTTTTAATTTCTAGTTTAATTCCCTTATAATCTGAGAACATAATTTGTATGATTTCTATTCTTTTAAATTTGTGAAGGTGTTTGCTATGGCCCAGAATGTGATCTGTTTTGGTAAATGTTTCATGTGCATTTGAGAAGAATACGCATTCTTCTGTTATTGGACAAAATGTTCTGGAAATGTTAATTAGATCAAGTTAATTGATAGTGCTATTCAGGTATGCTATATTCTTACTGATTTTCTGTCTATCTGGTCTATTAATTACTAAAAGAGGGGTATTGAATTTTCCAACTGTAATAATGGATTTATCTATTTCTCTTTAAAGTTCTGTCAGTTTTGTCTCATGAATTTTGACACTTTGTTGTTAGGAGTTCAAGATCATTATGACTGCTTGGAGAACTGAAGTTATTATGAATGACCCTCCTTTATTTCTGATTATCTTTTTTTTTTCTCGATTCTCCTTTGTCTAAAATTAATATCATTACTCCAGCATGATTACTGTTAGCTGGATGATTAGCATTTCTTCCTCCATTCCTTTACTTAAAAAGAGGCATAATCAACTGGGCTCGGTGGCTCAGCCTGTAATCCCGCGCCTTTGGGAGGCTGAGGTGAGTGGATTGTCTGAGCCCGCGGGTTCGAGACCTGGCTCAGCAGCGAGACCTCATCTCTACAATAAAAAATAAAATAAAATAAAAATCAGCCAGGCGTGGTAGTGCATGCCTATAATTCCGGCTACTTGGAAGTCTGAGGCAGAAGGATTGCCGGAGCCCAGCCGGTCAAGGCTGTGGTGGCCGGGAGCGGCCACTGCACTCCAGTCTGGGCGACAGACTGAGACTCCAACTCAAAAAAAAAAAAAAAAAAAAGGCATAATCAACATAGTATAAAGGCACCCTTTTGAAGTATACAATTCTGTGCTTATTTGTATACTCACAAAGATGAGTATCATCACCACTAATTCCATAACTTTAAAATTACCCCAAGAAGAAACCCATACCCATCCACAGTCACTTCCCATTCCCCATCCCCCAGCCCCTGGCAACTACCAGTTTACTTTATACCTCTATGGGCTTTCCTGTTTGAACATTTCATATAAATGGAATCATACAGTGAGTGTAATATTTTCAGAGTTCATCCATGTTGTAGCGTGTATCACGACTTCATTTCATTTTACGACTGGTCGATTCTCCATGGTGTGATGTAACAGTCCACCACACTACTCCGTTTTGTTTTTCTAGTTATCAACTGGTGGACATTAGGACTGTTTACATCTTTAGGCTCTGATGAACAAGACTGCTATGAAAATTGGTGTATGAATTTTTGTGTGAATAAAAGTTTTCAAATCCCTTTGGTATATACCTAAGGGTAGAATTGCTATGTCATATGGTAACTCTATATTTAACATTTTGAAGAATCACTAAACTGTTTAACAAAGCAGATGCACTGTTTTGCATTCCATTAACACTATAAGAAAGTTCAACTTTTTCAACATCCTCACTAACACTTGTACATTTTTTTTGGTAAGATATATATAGCTTAAAATTTGTTATTTTAACAATTTTTAAGTATACTATTAACCGGTGTTTTATGTTCTGTAACTATCATCACTATATATTTCCATTAAAAAAAAAATCACCCCAAACAGAAACTCTGCAACCAATAGTAACTCCCGGTTTCCTCCTTCCCCCAGCCCCCGGTAACCTCTAATCTACTCTCTGTCTCGTTGAATTTGTCTGTTCTAGATATTTCATATAAGTATTTTGTCCTTTTGTGCCTGCCTGATTTTTTTTTTTTTTTTTTTGAATTGGAGTCTCACTCTGT